CATGACCCCACCTGCTGGGTCTCAAGTGTCCTGTCTGTCCTGCTGGGCCGCCACCCTACCTGGGGGCTGCTCCTGCTGGGGCACAACCTCCCCAAGTCGTGGTCTGCCTACAAGGTCCCACTCCCAATTGCGGCCAGAGAACTCCTACGCACCCTCCCAGGCCCACTTCCAAGCTCACCAGCTCCACGAAACCTGCTCAGTTCCCCCAGGCCTTTCCCGCAACCCCAACCTTCTGCTCACTGTCTTGAGGGCTCCCTCTTTCAGGCTCTGTTCATGCTGGTCACCTCTGTCCCACCAGGCAGGCAGCCCCTGGGACACAAAAAGCCTCAGTAAAGGCCGGATAAACGAGTAAAGGCCCTGAACATTGCTGGGAGAGCCAGCTTTCCGCACACAAAACCGTCCCGGGCTCCCGCTGGCTCCCAAGTGCACGTGGGCTCAGGCGGAAGGACATGGCCCCTGCTTCCCGGACAAGCATTCAGCTGGAGCCCTAACTTGCTTTGGCTCCTCTCCCTCCTGCCTCCCCGGGGGTCTCTGGGACTGAAAGGTCGATGCACACATGGCCCCAAGGACCGGATGGCCAGAGCTGCACCTCCCGTGCTGTGGGTCCCAGCCACGGAAGCCAGCCCTGGGCTCTACCAGATCGCTCAGCCTTGCTGAACGTCCCTCCGTGCCAGCCCAGCGCAGGGTCTGGTAAGGAAGAGCCTGTCCCGGCCTCTGGGAGCTCGCCAGTGTCGACGGATGGCCACGGATGTAGACACAAGGGTCCTGGGAGCATACCCATCATCAGGCTGGAGAGCGAGCACTGGGGTGGGGAGGAGGCAGCCCGCGCTGCCGGGGTCTACCGCGCAGGGCCAGCCCACCCTGCCTGCCCCTGCTTAGATGGGGCCCCTCCCCTCGGAAGCTCCCTTCCCGGGTCTCCCCTTGGGCCTGGCAGTCTGGAGGCCGGCGCCTCCCACCTTGCTCCAGCTGCCTGACCGCCCAGGAGCTGCCGGGAAAGGACGAGGCCCGCGCTGTGGGTGGTGCGGGGCTGGTGTCCGCAGACACCGAGGTGAAGATGGGGCGTGGGGGGCCCCGCGGGAAGAGAGCGTGGGAAGCGTCCGCCGCCCTGTGTGGGCACCCACACAATACGCTTCTGCACCGCAGACAGACCGAGCTCTCTGAGGCAAGTTTACTGAGCAAGGTCAATGGAAATGAGTCCGCGTGCCCGGAAGTGCCATGCGGCCCGACGAGGCCCTGGTGAGGGCAGGGTCCCTCCCGGCTCCTGGGCGCTTCCCCGTGGCTCGAAGCAGTGCCGGCCTCTAACAGAAGCCCGGCCCCGGGGAGCCGCTCGTCGCGCTGGCTGCCGCTGCCGCCTCTGCTCTGCGGGAGGAGCCGAGGTCTGGAGCCTCGGTGCGACCTCAGCTGCGGCGCACATCGCCTCAGGGCTCGACTCTGATTTCCGCGGCGGGGACCACGCTGCGGAGCCCAGTGAGGGCCAGGGAGGCGAGGCGGGTCCGCGTGCTGAGGGTCCCTCGTCTTTCTGTCCCTCCGTTCGCTCGAGGCTTTTCCACGAAGCATCTTCGACCGCAGCCCTTGATCTAACAGATTTGTTCACTACTTCTGGGTCTTCTCCTGCTCGGCGGCTCTCACAGCGACCGGAATGCCCTTGGGATGTGCCCGTGCGCACCTCCTGCCGGAGACCATTCCGGCGTGGCTGCTCACAGGGCACATCTGTCAAGGTGACGAGCCCAAGACCACCACTTCAGGGACCGGTACGCCTCCTGGAAACGTGGTGGCTGCACCCGGGGGGTGGCTGGTTAAGCTTCTGGCTCTTGGTTTCGACTCAGGCTGTGGTCGCAGGATCATGGGATGGGGCCCCACGCCCGCTCCGTGCTGGGCAGAGTCTGCTTGTGACGCTCTCCCTGCCCCGCCTGCCCCTCCTCGCTCTAAAATAATCGGTCCCAAGAGCAGCGGCGGCTGCCACCAGAGGGAAGGGCAGCGGGGGACGGGCACCCGTCACCCAAGGTGTCCGAGGCCAGCGCACAGAGTGCAGACGCCTTTACCGGGGCTTTGCTCTGAGCGGATTTGGTTTACCGTCTGGGTCACTTGCTCTGAGCCCTAAGAACTTCCTTTAGCATTTCTCGGAAGGAAAGCGGCAAACTCTGTGAGCATCTGGAAACCGCGTGCGCCCACCTTACTCTGAGAGAGCTCTGGAGGCCGAGTCCTGGCCGTGGGTTTCCTCTGTGCACTCAGACCCCTGCCCCTTCTCGGACACCAGCCCCACCGGGCACACTCGGGGTGGGGACAGCTTTCCCCGTGTTCCCGACTCTGTGGATCGCGGTGGTGGTCCCGCTGGAGCTCACTGGCCTGCTGGTTTGCAGACGAACGTGGGGATTTTTCGGGCACCGTTTGAGTACTTTTTCTGTTCCTTTCTGCCTCCTGGAGCTCTGGTGGTGCAGACGTGGGTGTCCCTGCATCGCGCGGTCACCTGGACCTCCAGGTCAGCCGAGGTCACGGGTTCTTTCTCCAGCTCACGTGGCTGCCGGGTCACTCAGGAGCTCTTCACTTTGGTTCTCGCACTGGTCAGCTCTGGAATCCCCACTTGGTTCTTCCGGGCGTGGTAACTGTCATCTTCCCAGTGATGCTGTGTGACGCGCCACCGCCAGTCTCTGCCCTTGCTCCTTCCCGTTCCGTGTTGACCCGTGCTTCCCTCCACCGTGTGTAGACTGGCCAAGTTCAAGTCGCTTCTGTTAAGGCCAGCCCCCGGCGGTTCTGCGGCCCACTGCTCTCTCACCGGTCTGAGCCACACCCGTTTCTTTGCATGTTCACGTGGGAAGCGGGTCACTTCACGGAGCGTGCTGCCACAGTTCTGGGTCCTGCCCACCCCGCCGGGTCACGTTACTGTTATCCTGTTGCTTACTTTGCTGGTGCTGGGCTGGGGGGGGGGGGGGGGGGGGGGAGGTGCTTGTCCCAGTCCCCACAGCCCCTGCTCCGGCCTCCCTGGTGCCTCCCAGGGGTACAGCCTGGGGCTGGCCCACAGCCGCCCTGCAAGGACAGCGGCTCCGCGAAGCTGCTGGACTGTGCTCCCCGCCCACACCGGCCCCTTGCTGTCTGAGACTGACCACTCTGGCTCTTCCAGTCCTGCCCTGGGCATCAAGGCTTCAGAGCCTAACCCGAGCAAACCCAGTTCCTTTGGAAGAACAGCTCCTGAGATCAGCGTTGGGAGATCTTTCCTGCCCCACAGCCAGCCCGCAGCTCTGCAGAAAGCCAAGTCAGTTCTTCCGTGGCGGGGAGGCGCCCGGGCCACGGCCTGCCTCTCCCCCGGAAAACACCTCTGAGCCCCAGTGCTGGGAGCGGGGACAACGCCACTCGTCTCCGACAGCTCTGGGGGCAGCCGTCCCAGGTCTCCCGGGTTGGAGTCCGTGTGGAGCCCCCACCCACGCGTCCAGACCACCACGGGCTGCCGGCCTCCACCCTCCACACACCGGGCCCTCCCGATCGGTATCCGCCGTGGCCTCAGAGGAGGGCTGAGGCCAGAGCGTGGCTGTGGAGAGAGGGAGGCGAAGGGAGGCAGGGGACCTGGCCCGGCTTTCCCGAACGGCGCCCTGGTGTGCACGCTCCCCTCCCCAGCCACACTGTCCAGACGCTCTGGTGGCCAGTGGGGCCTGTGAACCGGGGCCCCGCCCAAAGGCCCGGAGTGGAAATGCTGTGCGTGGCGGCGGAGGGGCCGCTCAGAGGAACTGTGCTTCCTGCGGCTGAGGCTGGACGCAGCAGACACCAGCGTGGGACCTGGAACAGCCCTGAAACACGAAATGGGTCCCAAGCAGCAGAGGAGCCTGGCTCCCTGTGTCGCGCTGCCTCACCACCCTGGGTCACCCTCCTGGACTTGCGGGCCGGGCCTGAGGCAGGCAGGAACCATTCTCTTTCCCGCCCTCATGGACCCGCGAACAGCCCCGCGCCACCTTCCACCCCCACGGTGTTCAGCCTCCCCAGCAGCTTCCTGCCCTTGTCGGTAAACCTGTGCTCTCCAGAGGCAGGACGGGGGCCTCGTCTGATCACCCCCCAGCCCGGGCCGCGCACAGTGCCAGGCACACGGTGGGCAGGGAACACATGCCACACTCTGCGCTAAGTGACGTGTGGTGTGGGAGCGCACCCCCACCGTGAGAGAGCCCGCCGAAGCTGGCAGCCGTGCCACCACCTTCCCACAGCGGCTCAGGCTGGCCCTCGGAGGTGGCAGCAGCGGCGCGTCCCGTTTCCCCTAAATTCTGCTTCCCGTGCACCCAGGCTCCAGCGAAAGCACGCAGTCTGCATGGCCACCTACCCCTGCCTCTACCCCATTCCTCCAAGGCCACATCTGACTCTGGGGCCCTGAGCTGCCTCCTGAGGCTCCACCTTCTGACCCAGGAAAGACCAGCCAAGAGTGGGGCAAGCACGTCTACAAGGGACGGCGGAGCTTCCCAGATACCGCACCAGTGGACCCCACCGCCAGGGCTCTGGGCCAAGTAGTCTTGGGGGATGTGGAGCCCAGGCCTCCTAAAGATGCCTCTGTGGTGACCGGAGAGGAAGGGGACACTGGTCCCACCCGGCTCTGATTTCACATCCAGGCTAGTTAGGCTCCACCCAGAATTGCCTGGGAAAAAGGATTCTGAGGCGAAAGCATTCTGACCGCCCCAGCCTGGGGGGCCAGAAGTGCCGAGCACAGTGGCTAGGGGTCCTCTCGGAGGGCAGGAGGGGGCAGAGGTCTCTGGCAGGAGCATGGGACGGTGGGACGGGTGGAGGCGCTCACCGGACGGCCTCGCTGGACCCTGGGCTCTGCCAGCGCCTGCTCATGGCCCCACAGCCGTCTGCAGCCCAGGGCCCCACACTCTGCCAGCAGAGGCCACGTGAGCAGCGTCCTGCCCGTGGGGGGGGGCATGGGAGGCCAGACCCCGCTCTGCCCCAGAGCCTCCCGAGCGGCATGGGGGCTCAAGTAGGCGCTGTGCTCTGTGGCTGCTTCTGGAAGGAGCACAGACACCCCTTAGGCCGTCGGTGACAAGCGTTTATTGGGTGACCGCAAAACAGCCAGGATGGGGGCACGGATCCACAAGCTGATGGAACAGAGCCTCCGCAGGGGATCCAGGAGCCCCCCATGTCCTGCCCCTCCAGCTACACCCGCCGGCAAAGTCCTGTTCAAGAAGCACGCCAGGCTGCGGGGGAGAGCTCCTCGGCATCCGGCCACCTTTCCGGGCTGCCACCACGGCCACCGAGGCGAGGGCAGGTGCTGCAGGGACTCCCGACACCTCACCACAAGCAACTGTCCTTCGACGACGTGGTCTGCCACGGCAGCGAACAGCAGGGCTGCAGAGGTGTCACTCCCCGCACGGGAAGGAAAGGGCGTGGAGGCGGCACAGCCCTGAGGCCACCTGGCCCGGAGATGAGGGCGCTCCGAGAAGCCGGGCTCGGCCGCGGTCTCCGCCCGCGTGCAGAGCAGGAAGTGCGCTCGTCCACAGGCAGCTGCCTCGCCTGCACGTGGGAAGACAAGCACGCAGCACACGAGTGGCCTGCGAACCCCACACCACGTCCCTCGCTGCTGGTGGGCGCCCCAGCAGACGTGGGAATGAGAACCAGCAGGCGGCCGGGCAGCGAGGCCGACCCGAGGACGCAGCGGTGGAGAAAACAGAGTCGCGGCCCCCACGTGCACGCACAAGGAGGGTGCGCTGCCGTCCCGGGCCGCGGGCAGTCCTGGCTCTGGGCCAGGCCGGGCCACGGGGAGCCGGTGGGGGGCCACGGCGGGCGCGATCTTCCCACAACCAAGCCGTGCAGCCGGCTCCTCCCTGCCGGGGTACAGAGGCGCGAACAGCGAACGCAGGGGTTCAGATGCGGCCGGAAATCCAATCAGCTCCTTCTACGCCGGGTGGTGAGCGGAGGCCTAAATCTCATTTTTGAATGCCTCGGCGAAACTCGGGGACAGGCAGGCAGTGAGCGTGACCTCCCGCGGACGGGGATCGGACCTCGGAGTGGACTTGGCACCAGGATGCTAGACACGCCCGTGGTGTGCCACGGGCCCCCTGGGGCAACAGATGGTCGGTGGGGGGAGGGGGAGGACAGTCCTGCTTGTGTTAGGGGAAGGGGCTCTGCCATGCCAACCCCGCGTGTGGCCCCCACGTCCTGGAGTCCCGACCCCAGGGCTGAGGACTCCTGGCAACACTGAGGAACTTCCAAGAAGAGGCTGGCATGGTTAAGTGAGTTCATGGCTGACGGGACAACTGCCACCTATAAGCCACGAGCAGCGCGACCCAGCCCCGAAAGGAGGACAGGGCGGGCCCAGGGCAACGCCAGCCCCAGGCAAGGGGCAGCAGGTCCTGCCATCAGCTGACCCGAGGGCTGGCTTTCCTCGTCCTGGACAGACAGACAGCTCCACCCACGCACACAGCAGGGCTCAGCCGGCGAACACGAGCCCAGACTCTGCCCGGCTGGGCCCCCGCTTCCATTCATGGGACGCGGGGTCGGCTTCAGGTGTGGGCGACCCAGCCGGAGTGGCCGCTCACACTCGCGGGCCAGGACAGAAAACACGGCAAGCCCGCGATGAAGCAGATGCACACACCCCGACCGCCGCAACCTCCTAGACACGCTCCAGCCGCAGGCGAGGGCCGCGCGGACGTCAGTGCTCAGTGGCTGCAGAGGAGCAGGGCAGAGTGGAGGCCTCCTGAGGGGCCTCGAGTTTGACCACGGCCCTGAGGGCGCCGCGCCGCCACTTCACCTGCCTCTGCCTGGCGAACACGGAGCGCAGCGCGCGCAGCTGCCCCACCTCCTGTGCCGTGAAGCAGGGCTGCCCCTCGGCGAAGCGGACCACGGCGTCGAAGGACGAGGCTGCCTGCTCCCAGGCCGCCTCGTCGCCGTCCTTCTTGGCGAGCTCCAGGCTCCCTGCGCCCAGGGCCGGGCCTTCTCCGACCGCGTGTCCCGGCCTGTCCCGCTCGGCTGCCGCGGCCTGGGGAAGCCGGCTGCCAGGGCGGGCCGGGGCGTCCGTCCCCAGCTCCAGAATGTGCGTGAAAGTCTGACCGTGAGGCTTCACTCGGAGGTGCTCCGGCTCCTCCTCAGAGGACGAGCCCTCGGCGAACATGGCCGCCGGCCACAGCTTCCTCCAGGCCCGGCTGAAGACGTCGCCGGGCACGGCGCTCCAGGCGCAGGCCACGTTGAAGACGGCGTCATTCATGCCGTAGCGGGGGTGGCAGGCCTGCAGCGGGACGGGGGGGTTAACGAAGTGTCTCATGAAGTCCCTCCGGATGCCCTGGTCCATGGGCTGCAGCAGCGACGTGACGCTGGCGGGCAGGAAGACGGTGAAGATGTTGCCGGAGGCCAACTCGGCCTCCCGTGGGCGGGCGCGGGCGTTGTCCAGCAGCAGAACGGCTTTGCCATCCTCGGGCAGACCGGCCGCCCGGAAGTGCTCCTTCACTGATGGGACGAAGATGTGATGGAACCAGTCGGAAAAAATCTCCTTGTCCACCCATGCATTCCCTTGGGCCTTGTAGGCGACGGGCAGCTGCTGGATGCCCCCGAAAGCCCGGGGACCACCACCCTTGCCGACCACCAGGGGCTTGATCTTGTGGGAGCCGGTGGCATTGGCACACATGAGGACGGTCAGCCTGTCCTTGCTCTGCCTGACGCCGGGCACCGCCCCACCTTCCAGGCTGGGACTGGGCAGGCACCGCCAGAAAAGGCCAGTCTCGTCGGCGTTGTACACCTGCTCGGGGGACAGGCCGTGCTCGGCCGTCAGGCTCCGGAAGAAGCCGCAGAACTGCTCGGCGGCTCGGCGGTCGGCCGCCTGCTTCTCACCGGACGTGTCTAGCTTCTTGATGCCGTGCCGGGCCTTGAAACGCCAGAGCCACCCGCCCGAAAACACGCAGGGCTCCGTCAGCTGCATCTGCTCGTAGAAGTCCTTGGCCTTCTCGATGAGCATGGGGCCCGACACGGGCACGCCCTCAGCCCGCTTGCCCAGGAACCACTGGTACAGGGCGCGGTCCAGGTGCTCGAGCTTGGGCGTGTGCAGGGTCCGCCGCCGCTCAGCCGCCGCTCCAGACGCTGAGCTGGCGAAGAAGTGCAGCAGCCGCGCCTTGTGGGCCCTGATGTCATACAGGGTGGACATGCCCACGTTGTACTCCTGCATCAGCACCTTCCTGCTCTCCCCCTTCTCCAGGCGCGCGCAGATGTCGATCTTCTCCTTCAGGGTCAGCACCACCCTCTTGCGCTTCTCCCCTGGGCTCCGCCCCGCAGCCTGCTTGGAGGCCATGGTGGGCGGTGGCTCGACCCCGGGAGCTGGGGAAGAGGGAGGACACGCCTGGCGGCGGGGGAGAGACGGGGAGTCCCGGCAGACTCCTTGCCTCCCCTCCCACTTCCTCCGCTTCCTCACCTGCCAGTCCTGTTCCACGGACCCCAGGCCACCATGAGCCCCAGTTCCTCCTGTGGTCCGCCCTCCAGTGCTAGCGATGTGGCCACCTCCCGGCCCCTCTGCAGGAGAGACGACTAGTGTCACACTGCCCCGGATGTGTCCACACAGTTGGAACCTCTGGTCTTCTCTGAGGGGGACGGTGACCGCTCCCACCTTCAAATGTGGAGCTTAGAGAGTACAGGGGTCCCAGGAGCGCGGTTCCGATGACTCGAGGTAGCACTGTCTGTGCTGCGGCTGCCCCTCCGGGCGCATGGCGCTGTCTCCTGCCATGTTCTAGGAACTGGAAAGCAGAACGGGGAAGAAAGAACGTTACGGGCCGCGGGCCTGGGCCCCTGCCAGCATCCGCTCACTACTTCAGGCAAGCTGCAGCAGAAACCACCACGTCGCGGGGACGACCGACACGAGTGCTGGCCTGAGGGACACAGCACCCAGGAGGCTACCCAGCTGGGCACACGGGCTCTTTCCAATGACCTCTCAGTCACCACGGCTCCCTCAGGCTGCACAACTCCATTCTCTCCTGACCCTTTCCCGAACACCCCGCCCCTCCCTGTGCCGCTGGGCAGACTCGGAGGGCAGAGAACAGGCATCCGTGCTGGATCCTTCGGGAATCACACCCTTGCCGCGCTTCTCCTGCTAAGACACCCGCCTCCTCCATCCTGGGAGGAGCCAAGGGCTGCTGCCCCGACAGTGCCCGGCCCTGTAGGCCTACTCCGTGCAGGGTCTGCTGGGCTGGTCCTGTCTTCTCCCTCCCAGCCTGCGTTCCCTCACTGCCTTCATGACTCAGCCCTGTTCCTCACCACCCCCCGGCCCGCCCAGGAGACAGCAGATCGCTGGGGTGACAGCAACAGCCCGCTCGCAGCTGGGCACCCCGTCTCCCCACCCGCCTGCCACCCAAGCCCTCATTCTGGCGGTGCCCTCCCACCTCGCACAGATGCTGAGGCCACAGCACTGCTCACAGGCGCCGCGTGGAAACGGAGCTCCGCGAGAGCTCGACTGGAGACCATCGCCATTAATTCAAATGTGGCGAGAGCTCCACGGACCGACTCTAGGCCCGTCGCCCGCCAGCTCTGGGCACATTCTCCCCTGCGGGCCAGCCTCCGGGTGTGCGGGCGCGGGTGCCGCTCCTTCAGGGCCTGCCTTCGTCCCAGCTACGTGAGTGGACTGCCCGGAGGGAAGTAAAGGCCACCGCGAGCACAGCAGCGAGGGGGAGGGAACCTCCCGGAAGGCCTCCCGCAGGCTCTGCCCCTGAAACCGAGGTTCTGGATGCTTCCTGTCCCTGACCAGCAGGTGTCCGCGAGGTGTGCGCGGAACGACATCCGCCAGCTGGAAGCACGTGGGCCCCGCGGGACGCAACTACTGTGAAAACCGAGACTCGGATACCCTGACGCTCTGAAGCACTTTCTCAAGCCGAAAGGGCACCCGGTGCAGCACTTGGGGCTTCTCGCCGTGACTTCAACGTAAGCACCAGGCGGAGGCCTCGGGAACACGGACGGACATATATACCCTCTGGGCCCGAGGGACAGACGAAACAGGCGGGTGGCGGGCGGAGAGGGGCAGGAGGCGAGGAGGGCGGCCGCTTCACACCTGCTCCCGGTTCCTGCAAGGGGAAGCCCCGACCTGAGAAGAGCCCGAAGGACTCGGGCCGCGGAGGCGGAGCCACGGGGGGGGGGCGCGGGGGCCACGAGAGAGAAAATCTAAAGAAAAGAAGTAATTTGGAGACTGAGGCGGACGCGGGAAGACTCCAGGGGCAAGGAAAGCGTGTGCACCGGGAGGGGGCGCGGCCCGCTGGGGGGGGGGGCGCCGGGATGTGGCGGGTTCTGGGGAGGGCCCGGGGCGGGGCGTCAGCGGACGCGGTTCCGCCCACAGCGCAGGTGCGGGGCCTCCGCGGGACCCCGGGGCGCGTAGACGAGGCGAGCTTTCGGGCCGGCGCGTTTGGAAAGCGTCTCGCCCCCGGGGCCTCCGTCGGGGGGCAGCAGCTCGGCCCGGGGCGCAGCACACACCGCAAAGGGAAAGAGGAAAACCGGGCAAGACCCCGTCCGGCAGGTCCCGGGGCGGGGACCCGCGGGGACCCCGTGACCCACCCCCTCCGCCGGCGGGGCCCCGAGCGTCTGCGAGCGGCGGCACGACCAGGCCCGGCGGCGGCGGGGCTGGGACGGGAGGAGGCTCCGCCCGGAGAGCACACACTGCGTGGCGCCCGTCCCCCCGGCCCGGCCCCCACTCACCTGCGGACCCGGGCCGCCGCCGCTGCCGCCGCCGGAAGTGCCTCCCGTCCGCGCCTGGCCGCCTTCTCCGGGCCACTTCCGGGACGCTCTAGGCATCCCGGAGGACTGACTCGGCCTCTCGGTGGTGCGGGCAGCCGGGCGCTGCGGCGCGGGAGGGCGGGGCCCCTGCGCGCGCACCTGCCGACCGGGCGCACCGGCCCGCGGGGCGCACCGGCCCGGGAGTCGCGGGTCTTGTGCTAGTGGATCCCCGAGCTGAAGGGCGCGGGACTCCTGCGGTCCCGGACCAGGGCTGGCAGGAGCGCGGTGATGCGGCCCCTTGCGTTAATGAGATGCGGTGGCCCTAGGGATTTCCTTCCCGCTGAGAGAAACGCACACCCCAGAGAGAGAAAAAGGAAAACCGTCGGGTCCCGTCCGGCAGGGGCCTGGGCCTTGCTCGCTGGGGCTTTGTGCACACCTGATGTGCGGGCTTCGGGTGCGGACGCGGGGCCCCTGTTCGGACCTGGGCCGTCCTGAGCTGAGCTCGTCGGGGACCTGGGGATGCGATGAATGTGGTCTGCGTGCGGGGCGGGCGGGAGTCTTTGGAGCCCGGAGTCCAGCCCCGGCGCTGAAGGTGTCCGCACGTCCACACCCCTATCCCCAGCAAGCTAGGAGGCGGGGGTGCGGAGGGGCAGTATGATCACGGCGTCGGGTAGGAGGGAGGGAGGAGGGCCCCGTTGGGGAAGGCGACTTGACGGGCAGAAGGAGGAGAGGCGATGGGACAAGGGACGGGGGTCGCAGTGCTGCTTGGTAGTGAGCCGAGGGAGGCGCACCTGCCTGGAGCCTCTGCGCCCTGCGCGTTATGGCCCTGCCGCCAAGTGGCTCCTTGTTGCAGCCGGGGACAGGGACGAAGACAGTTCCACAGCCCCCTCCACTCCACTCCCTTTCTTCCCGGACTCCCCCAGATGCTGCGTCCCCAGGCCCTCCTTCCAGCGCTCCGCGGAGGGTTCCTGCGGCCTGGGCTCCCTCCTTGGCTCTCCCCTCTCTAGCACCCCCACTCCCCGGGTGACCACCCCTCTCTGCGCAGAAGGAGCGCCAGGGGCCGCTCTGGAGAACCTTCCCAGCATGTTCTGGGGCAGCACCTCACGCCCAGCCTTTCGAGGCCTGAGCTCGGAACACGGCCCAGCCTTGCCCCATCCTCGCACCCCCATCCCAGTGAGTGGCACTGTCCTCTTTGCCTTCACTCGGCCAAAAATTCAGTCATGCTTAACCCATGCTTGGCCCTGATTGACCAGGAGCTCCGCCCAGCTCTGCCCTCCCCATCCGTGCCCCATCTGACCTCCTGGCACCCACAGCTGCTCTCTCCCTGGCCTTAGCCCCCACCCCCCCCCCCCGGCCTCCTTGCTTCTGTCTCTGCCCCATATCAGCCATCTGCTGCTGTGTGATGGAACACCCCAGACTCAGTGGCTTGAAATGAATCATCTTGCTGCACCTGGTTCCGTGGGTCAGGAATCTGGAGGTGCTAGGAGCAGATATGCTTGCCGGAGGAGAAAACTGGGGGCACTGAGCACCGTCTCCTGGGGCATCCTAATGGCCCCACAGGAAGGCTGGCTCTGTCCCCGTGGGAGACTCTCTGCTGCCACCTCATGGACATGGGATTACATGCACCTCCCAGAGCCTACATGCAGCAGCAGCGGGGGCCTGGGGTTTGACCCCCCCCCAGATGCACCGGGCTCCCCCAGAGGCTCCCATCTTCACTCTGGGACTCGTGGGCCACATCTCCAGGTCTGAGCCCACGCTGGCAGAGAAGAGAGGGTCAGAAAGAGGATGAGAAGGAAGAACTTGTGTCTCCTGGGAGCGGCCACTGATGACTCTCCCTCCTTACTCCCCATTGCACAGGACCCAGTCCCCAGGCCACAGCTGCTCCCCACCACAGCTCCCTATCCCTGTTCACAACCAGAGTGGCCTTGTGGGTGTCAGTCTGAGCCGATCACCCCCCCCATCGCTGGCATCCCAGTGGGCTCCGCAGAACGGTCCCCAGCAGGCCATGCCACACCTGGCTCGAGCTGTCTCCTCCAGGCCCCGCACAGGAGCCCCTTCCGGGTGTGCTGTCCCTCAGCCCACAGGCCTCCACCTGAAGGCAGGACCGGAAGCAGCAGAACCACTCACCCAGATCCTGGAGGCCTCGGGTAGGGAAACGTCACCATCCAGTCCCCCAGAGCAGGGGGGGGGGGGTTGGCTCCAGCCTGGGGGTGCTTGTGAATTCCACAGCCTCTGGCAGAAGGGCAGCACTACCCACGTGGACCGGGTGTCCTGGGCTCCCTGACCTCACTCCAGGACGGAGGAGAGGCGACTGGAGATGAGGGACAGCTCTAAGAGGCACCAGCCCCTGCAGGGGGCTGGAATGCAAGGCCAGAGACAGGAGGAGGGATGGGTTTGGGGCAGAGACACCGATGGCACATAGGACACCTTCGTGAGAACCAGGACGAGGGCCCTTCTCTGGGGTGCAAGGCCCTTCCCAGAATTTGAGGTGGACGGGCACCCAGGCTGGCAGTAGGCCGAGGGAGCTTGGCCCTGGTGAACTGGGGGTGAGAAGCAGGCTCCCAGGCCCCGGCGTGGGACTCAGTGTCGGCAGGACCCACACACACGCACACACTCACAGAGCTTGCAAGACGCCTGAATTTCAAGAGCCCAGAATGGGAGGCCAGGCCCTGAGCGTGCGCTCCCCGGGGGTCCGTGGTCTTGCAGCATGTGGTTGACCCTCTCGATTTTACGAATGCATTTTTCTCAAGAAAAAGGTCTACAGAAGTGGAAGGTGAAATCAGCTGTGGTTTTGTAATTAACCCACCATCTTTATTTTTTAAATTAATTCTGCCCCAAATATGAGATTCATCCAGCACTGGTGTCCATTCACGTGGCAGCCCCGGGAGGTCACAGTCTGCTGGCAAAGACCCTGTACAAGGTGGGGTCAGCGATCCCGCCTCCTTCCAGGGCCTGGCCCCTGCTGCCGTCCCACCGGCCCCCGCCTTCCGGCTTTCTGACCCTACAGGAAAGGGAACGTGAGTGGGCAGGAGCTCCAGGGAACCCAGCGGGCTGGGCAGGCAGCTGAAGAGGCGAGAGAACAGGAAAATCTGGAGCCCCGAGAGGTGACAGCAGAGCCAAGGAGAGGAAGAGAGCTAAGGGTGAGTCGCAGCAAAGGCACACCCTGACCCGGTCTGCTGCAGGGAGGGACTCTTAGCGGCAGACCTTCCCAGAAAGTGGGACAGCCAGGGGATCCAGGCTCAGCGAGGCTAAGGGGCTGTATTCAGTGTGTCCCCAAAGCATGGGTGATGGGACAGAATGCAATCAGTGACCAGAGGCAGGTCCTCCGCGTGAACGGGGTCAGCATTCAGACTGTGACCCTAGTGAGGGCTTAGTTTTAGACTAGGTCAGAGGTCAGCCCGTGCCGGGGCAGGGGCTGGTCATAGCCGTGGCTACGGCAGCATGGCCACGGGCTTCAGTATTGGAGCTGTGGCTCTTAGGCTGTCCACTGAGTCAACTCGGGCCCCGTCACACAACCCCGCGGGCCGGGCAGCCTACGCAGCACACCACACCGGGGTTGGCGCTTCAACGTAGGAATCTGGGGGGACACAATTCAGACCATATCATTTTGGCCCCTGGGTCCCCAAAATTCATGTCCTTCTCACATGCGAGGTACACTCATTCCTTCCCTGTTCGGTCTAACTCCCTGCCGTCTACCCTCAGTGGGATGGCAGCCTCGTCTCCGTGGCTCTGCGCGGGCCTCCTCTCCCGGCCATTCTGCCTGTATCAGGCTGGATGTATCCCTGGGGTGGGGGGTGCCCCATCCAGGATGGTGAGCAGCTTTCTTGGCCCGCACCCCTGGAAGGCAGTAGCACTCCCCTGCTGGGCCAACCCACAGTGTCCTCAGGCACCGCCAAGCGTCCCCTGGGGCCCGGAAGCCCCCTGCTTGAGAGCCACAGCCCTAGAGTAGTCACGTCGTGGCGAGTCAGGTGAACAAACACGCGTGCACCTGTCAATATTTGCGGAATGAATGTTCCAGGCTGTGCTAGGTGCTGGGTGCCCGGAGCACGAAGGCAGATAAGAAAGGCTCCGGGCCAGGGCACCCCCAGTCCCAGGGGGCTGGGGGTGGGCCGACAGGCAGACAGGGAGGTCACAAACATTTTACCACACGAACCACCTGAGCTGACGGGGCTGTGGGCTGGAGTGGGGGTGTTCAGGGAGAAAGTTCTGAGTGGCCAGAGTAGACCAGGAGGACAGCTGGTGGAGGGACCACACTCACCGCCGCCTTTCCCACCACTGTGTCACCTTGGGCAGCGTCATGCCCCTCCCTGGGCCCCAGGCTCCTCATCTGCTAAAGCAGAGACGCCGTCTGCGGGAAAGGGCCCAAACTGGTGGGTGCCAGGGGGCCGTGCAGGAAAGACCCCAATGCCAGGGAGTTCTGGGACTCAGCCCTGGCCCACGTCACTGTGTTGTCTTGACCCAGGACTCAGGGTGAGAGGGTGGAAGCTGCCATCCCCAGGGGCATCGTTCTGCTCCCCCCGCCCCCCAGCCCAGGAGGGCTGGGAGATGGAGCTCACTGCCCCAGCAAGGGCCTTGCCAGCAGCACACACTCGGCCCTGCCCTGTCCCAGGGGTGGACCCAGGGGGATGAGGTCAGACGCCAAAGCGAGGACAGACATGTCATCCCAGGGCCCGGCAGCAGGACGCGAAAGGCGCTCTCTCCATCCTGGGAGGGGCCTGTCACCTCCCCGGACACACGGGGTCAGCAGGCAGTGGGCGTGGCCTGTACTTGCCCACACCCACCTGGACACCTCAAGGGGTCATGGGGAGACTGTTTACAAAGGGAGGGTCACGTTTAGAGTGACAATAGGGACCACTAATGGGCCCCTAGGCCATGAGCAGACGGAAGCCACTGGGCCCTGGGTTTGGAGGGGTGAGGGGATGGTATGCGTCCCACAGGCTGGCCAGGTTGTTGGGAAGGGAGGAGGGAAGGCCAGGTTGGTGGGAAGGCCCTCAGGGACATGGCCACGCACAGCCACTGCCACCTCGCTGTCGGGGCACGGAGGAGGACACGGCCTGGCCTCTGCACCTCCACCTTCAGGTCTCCAGCCACTGGAAGCCCTTTGGGGCCCTTATGGGATCCTAGGACACAGACGGGATGGAGAGTGGGTCTGGGGCGCAGCCTATGTCCAGCCCAGTGCCGACCCCCTTCCATGGCCTCCTCAAGAGGCAGCTAATGCTCCATTTCCCAGACTCCCTTGCAGCTAGAGTTCCGTGTCCTGGGGGGATTCAGGAAGGTGGTGAGGGTTAAGCCTGCACCCCAGCGTGCACACATTCCCATGCACCACGCCTGTGCCCTTGGGCTGTGCCAGCACCCCCTCCAGCCTCAGGGCCCTTCCCAGAACGGTCTCCCCATTCCCTGTGCCCCCTTGGGTGTGGTCATTCAAGGCCTGTTGTCCCTGGAGGACCAGGAGCCCTGGGAGCAGAGCAGGGCCCAAGGGAGGCTGGGCCTCAACCTTGGCCTTCCGCACTTACCCCACTCTGGCCTCGCTGTGAGCCCCACGCCTCGCCCTGGGGGTGCTGAGAGATGGCAGAGAGGGGGGAGGGCAGCCCTGCCCGGGACAGGCCCCGCCTTCCGGAAGCAAAGGGAGAGGACAAGGGGTGTGGTGGGGCGGCCAGAGATTGGGATCTACCTGCGCTGGGGTACTTGCTGGCTGGGGAGCCTGTCCGTGTTGACCGTGGGCGGTGGAGCCTCCCCCTTGCCAGGCAAAGCCTATAAAGCCACCCGGAGTCCAGTCTGGGCCGCCCGTTGGTGACCATGAAGGCTGTCCTTGCCCTGCTGGCTGTCGGCTTGACCCTGCATCCAGGTGAAACCTCCGCCCCCATGGGGCAGGGCCACGGGAACAGCGCTGGGGGAAGGGGGCAATCGGGAGACCAGAGGGGCACTCAGTGAGGGGACCCACCCAGAAGGACAGAGAGAGGAGGCAGAGGTGGGGAACGGGGGAGGGCGGTCAGGTGGAAGGTAAGGGAGGCAGCGGCAGGAAGAAGGGGCTTTGGTCCTTGCCCCGTGTCCCCCTCTGGGGCAGCTCTGAGTACAGCCAGGGGGCAGCAGGGACTCACCCAGAGGCGGGAGGGCATGGCGGGGCCTGGCTTTCGGAGGACCAGCAGTCGGAGGGATGCACGGGGAACATGCAGTGTTGGGGGAGGCACAGGGGCAGAAAAACCTCAAGGCAACAAGTGCCCCGGAGTCAGGGAAGGGCCAAATGAACAGGGGCGGGGGGGGTGCGGGGGGTGTCCTGACAGCATCTGGGGCCTCTCCCCCTGCCCTGCCCTGGGGTCCACTGTGGACACCAAGGACCACAGACACCCAGGCTGGGGAGTGGGCCTCAGCTGCTCTGGTCTGCACTCCAGGCTCTGCGCGGTCCTTCCCATCCTGGGTCATCACGAAGTCTCTTAGGGCCTCAGCTTCCTCTTCGGGAAACTGGGGCTCATGACCATGGCCCCAAGGCTGCTGGGGGGGGTCAGCTGGGATGTGGGGTGACTGAGCACGGGACCGACAGCACGGGGCCTCCTTGCCTTGGGTGACTCTACCCTATCCCACCATTGTTTTGACTGGAAGGGGCCTTACCGAGCCAGCTGGGGCCACTGCCCCCAGGGACAGAGCAGGGCCTGGCCAGGGGCCCACACAGGGTCTCCCGGCCCTGGGGAGACCTGGGCAGGGCTGGGAGGCTGCGTTGGACCGGCACACGTTATTGAGACAGTGACTCCCGGTGGCAGGAGCAATTCTGGAGTCCTGCCCACCCTGCCTGCCATCCCCAGCCCGCCCTGGAGCGCGTCACTCCCTTCCTTCTCAGACCAGGGGCATTTGGCAGAGGGGCGGGCTGGGGCACTCACGGTGGGTTCCAGGTGCCAGGGCAGCCAGTAGGCAGAGAAGCATTCCTGGTGGACTCTGATGAGCGGGGTTCCCTCCCTGGGGGTCCCCAGTCTGCAGTGGGCTCTTGTGCTCTCACACACTGCCAGCAGCTTGGAAGCTATGAGAGATGAAAAAAGGAGGCTGCTTCCCCACTCTGAGCTCCCCCCATCCCCCAGGCTCCGCTCTGCACTGCTACTCCTGCAGGGACCAGGTGAGCAACCACGATTGTCGGCATGTGCAGAACTGCACCGACTCCGAGACGTACTGCTGGACCAAGCACAACAGTGAGTGACCCTGCTGTTCCCGTGCCTCCCCGGGACTCTTCCCAGACTCCCCCAGGGCCGGGTGGGGCTCGGCCCCCCCTCTTGCCATTCCCTTGGACTCCCTGCCCCTTCCCACCCCCTGGTAGGGACTCAAAGACCTTCTGTCCATCTGCCCACTTGTTCACCCACCCACAGATACAAGTGCTCCGCTTCCCGTCCACTCATCCCTCCACCCATCCCTTGTCTGTCTGTCCATCTGTCCCCCTTCGTTACTCATCCATCCATCCCTCCTATATCACTCATCCATCCATCCATCCATCCATCCGTCCACCCATCGCCTCTCCATCACTCATCCACCATCCATCCGTCCATCCATCCCTTTCATCACTCATCCATCCACCATCCATCATCCCCCTCTATCACCCATCCACCCACCCACCCACCATCCATCCACCCATCCCTGCATTCACCCATTAGGCATTTTCAGTTGCAGCAGAAGGTCCGGCTGCCTTGGGCATGTGGATAAGGATGAGCCCAGGTGCCTGCCCTGACGCTGCTGGCAGTCTTGAGGTAGTCACCCGGGGTGACTCTAAAGTGTTAGAGTGGGGACAGGAAGAGGGCCATGGGATCGAGGATAAGGCCAGGTAGGTGAGCTGAGCAGCCCCTACCCCCAGGTACTGTTGACATCATGACCATCATTAGCAAGGGCTGCAGCTCGCACTGCGTGGAGGACGCCCAGAACTACTACGTGGGCAAGAAGAACTTCACTTGCTGCTCCACTGACCTGTGCAATGCCAACGGGGCCCAAGCCCTGCGGCCAGCAGCTGTCACCCTGCTGCTGCTCACCACTCTCGGTGGCCTGCTGCTATGGGGTCCCAGCCGGCTGTAGGATCCAGGAGGACCCCACTTGCCCCAACACTGGGTATCAGTGCCCAGGGGTCCTGGAGTGCTCTTCACACACACTGGCCCAGTCGAGACCCCTCCGAGACCCCAGCTCAGGTTGGGCCATGCCCGTCTGCCCCTTCCAGCCTTCTGTGGCTCCCTCCAGAAGCCCTGCCCAGCTCCCCCTGCTCAGCAGGCTGAGTCCTGTTGATGTGGCACTGTTCCAAATCCCTAGAACCCAGCCTGCACATGGTCTGCCCAACGCCCATGTCGCAGCCCCCTCCTCAACCCTTGCTTGGGCATTTCTTCTTCCGGCAAGACTTCTCTGCCCCACCCCCCCATCGACGGAATCATTCCCACCCATGATGTCCCCCACAACCAGCAAGGAGCAGGCACGTGGGAGGGCCCCACAAAGGCTGAATAGAATTAGGGGCAGGGAGTGTGAGGTCCCATGGGCCCCAAGAGATGAGGTGTGGAGGGGGGTCCAGCTCCCCATGGCCATGGTAGTTCTGGGGCAGTAACCCCAGCCCTTAATAAAATCCCCCTGACCTAGTGGCAGAGAGCTGTGTTCTTATGTGCCCCGGGGTGGAAGCCAGGGTTGGGGTCCAGCGCTGTGCTGGATGGCCACCCGGCCCCGTGTCCATGTGCTGTGGCCACAGCACTGACCAGCCACATGGGGTGGAGGTCCGGCCTGGGCAGGAGCAAATGACTGACCCCTGGAAGGGAGGGCATTGCTGCAGAAGGTGGTGGCCTCCCTAGGGGCTCCTGGCTCTTGCGGTGAGACTCACTCACGTCTTTCGACCTCTCTGAGCCTCAGATACTTATCTGTGACCCCTGTGCTGTGAGGACTGAGCATTCACAGGACACAGAAGCTTCGGGGGGGGAGGGGCTGCGACTGTGTGAGGTCCCCATGGTGTCCCTTCCCTGGCCTTCCCTTTTGTTCGAGGAGAGCCCTTCTGTCTCTTTCTTGAATTTTTTATTTTGTCTTTTATAAGGGAGGGCAGCCTATGTGGGTGGGGCAGGCCGTTGGTGGGTGTGAGCGGAGTGGGGGCCGTGAGCAGGGGGGTGTCCTCGGAGCGGGGGCCAGGACAGGGACCTGCATGGGATGGTGGGTGCTTCCAAGACACGTACCAAGCTGTGGGTGAGGCAGCATTAGAACCCGGGGTCTGGAGAGCTGGGCTGGGGGTGGGGCAGGATTACACTGACCAACAAGGTTGATCCAGAAGCTCAGAGTCTTCCCTGTGTGTGTCCTCAGGCAGGCCACTGGGTCCCAGGGTCGCCACCTCCAGAGGGTGGAGTTCCCCATGTTGAGTGGTGATTCTCCCTGCTCCCTTCCCAGCCCTGGTGCCTGGCTCCTGGGGAGCAGCTGTGGGCTCCGGCCTCTCCCACGATGCTCCGCTAGGGCCCAACACACAGACCTGGCTTGGCTCCAGTCCAGGGTCCTGGATTCAAGGCTGGGCCTTTGCTTCCTGGGAGGGCATCCCAGAACTGGGGGGACCCTGGGCAGAGCATTAGGCCCATCAGGGTCTGAGCTGGGCTGGAGCTTGGAGATTGAGGACTGGTGAGCACTCAGGACTAGGCTTCTTTGTGCCCTGAAGTTGTGAGGCCCAGGCTCATTGACCCTGCCCAGGACACAGTGGACACCTCTGCAGTTACAGAGCACCTGCTATGTTCCAGGCGCTGTTCCAGACACACCAAAAACAGCAGTCGCCTGGGCTTGGCTGGATTCTCCCGGACCTCTCTTGATGCCCTGGGGCCACCCCAGGTCATGGAGCTTACAGGACAAAGGGCTTAGGTGAACAGGATCAATACAGAAATATGTAACATGTCGGCAGGAGAAGCTAGGAAAGGAATAAAACACAGAGAGAAAATCACAAGTATCGGTGAGGCCAGGAAGGCCTCTGTGGGGCCTGGAAGTCCAGAGGGATGGGCCACAGCCCACTGAACAAGACGGGGACCCCTTGGGCAGGGGACCTCCTCCCTGGGGCTGAGGCTCAGGGCGGTGAGGCAGTGCCTGGACCACCATATCCTGTCCCGGGCTACAGGGTTTGAAACATTTGGGCCAGGGGCAGGGGAAAGGGCAGGTAGGCCCCTGCAACGTGGGAGGCCTGGCAGGGTTCTCCATATCCCAGAACCAGGGGCTCTCCTCCGGCCTCCTGAGCTGTCTTCAAGTTCATGCAACCTCACTGCACAACAGAAGGTGGGGCAGGAGCCCCTCCCGACACACAGTGCACTGGGACCAACGGGGCTCCTCCTCTCGGGGTAGGTACAGCAGGGGGCCACCTGCAGGGGCAGCCCACTGGCCCAGGGCCCCTCAGCAGCGGGCCCTAATCTCCCCGTCCCCTCACCATCTCGTCCTCATGAACTACAGAAAAGCAAGGAATAAGAGAGCCCGAGCCTCAGATCCCCACACGCTAGGCTGGCGTGTGTCACCGTCTGCGCTGGCTCAGGGTGCTTCCTGTGTGAGAACACGCAGGTGTACGCCACGAGCATACACGCCTGGCTCACCAGACACACGCTCCCCAGCAAACTACTTTCTGAACATAGATCTTTCCATAGCGAGGAATACAGACCCTCTCAGCTCTGTCCGGAGGCAGAGGCATTCCCCTGGACAGACAGACTTGGGTTTGTCTTTAGGATGCCTTTCCTGAGCACTTTCCGTGTTGGAGACGCTGTCTGAGCCTTTCACCTCTGTCATGATAGGTGACAACAGGGGCTCAGGGGCTCGCCCATGGGTCTCCGTGCAATCCGTCATCAACTCCCCGCCACCCAGCAAGGCCGGCCATACAGGGAAAGAGCCAGGGCACAGAGAGGTGAAGGAACTGCCCCGAGGTCACACAGCTGGCTCGTCACCCTCCTCCCCTGCGTGCTTGTTCACCTCAAGCCAGACCTCCAGCGGCATCCCTAAGTGGGCACCTCTGGCCCTGGCACCATGCCCAGTCTCAGGCTGGAGGCCGTCTGGTGCCGTCCTCCCCGCTGAGGACTCTGGCTCAGCCCCACCATCAATCCCAGGGCCTGTCTGCCAGGCCCCTCCAGGGCTGGGATCGCTGTGCCCCCGCCCCCGCCAACCCCGCCCAGGTTGGTGAGTTCTCCATCTGCGGCCACTCAGGTGTTTGTAGAGTGCCCTGCCCACGTGACCCAGGACTGGACGAGCAGGTCCCCATGTCAGTCAGCAGCCTGGGCCCCGCTCTGTGAAGGGCTGCTCCTGCCTGGCTGGACTTGGGGTGCCGTAGGGAGGGAGGCTGGAGTGGGGGCAGGGCAGTTGCCTGAGGGGTGCCAGGTCAGACCCTCTGGAGGCAGCAAAGTTGGGGGGCGGGCAGAGATGTCCATCTTCCTCTGCTTCTCGACGCTCCATCTTTGTCACGTGGCTCCCAGCCCCTTCTCCCTCTTTGCCTGTCTCTCTGTCTCCCCCATCTCTCCCTGCCCCCAGACTCCTCCCTGCAGTGGGGGTCCACCCACCGTCTTGGGGCTTCTCTCCTTCTTCTCCTGAGCCCATGAACAGGGACTCAGCCGCTCGCCTCAGCTGAGGCAAATGAGACAGGAAGGAGTCCTGGAGGGCAGGGGTGGGGCGAGGCAGGCCCTATGGGAGCCTTAGGGCCTGGCATCACTCACCAGTCCTGGAGAGGCTTAGTGCCCCTGCCCAAGTGCCCACAGCTGCAGGGCACAGAGCGGGGACCCAATCTGCCCACTCCACAAAGTTTATGGGTGCAAGGGCGGCCCCCCGGGGAGTGGCCCTTCTGGGCCAGGCCCTGCTCTGCGCTGCACAGGAACGTCACCCAAATGTCACCATGTGCCCACAGACACACGGCCTGCCTCACTATGGAGCACTCGTGCCCGCAGTCCAGATGTGGGCACACAGCAGGCAGGCGACCCCTCTGGGAGCAAGAGTGCATCTGGGGAAACTGAGGCACAGCGTTGCAGCAGAGCCGCCACCAGCTACAGCGAACGCTCTTTTACAGACCTGAGGTTCCAGAGGGCTACGGGCTGGCCCCCCCACAGACAAATGGGTCTGGGCCCTCTCAACCCCCCCTTTGCCATGCCCACAGGCTACTCCTTCACTGTGACAATCACCACCTCGAGTCTCTGACCCCGGGCAAGACCAGCGGGCCTGGGACAGAGCAGAGGAAGGGGCCCGGGGTGGGGTGGGGGTCCTCCAGTTGCTGGCTCCGAGGCTCCTGTTCTGCGCGCTCCTCTCCCCCGGAGCCCTGTACCAGGCGGCGGCCACTAGAACTTAGGCCGTGGGGCCGCCCGTGTTGGTGACACCAGGCACTACCCAGACAGGACAACTCTTGTGGAATCACGGGGACCCAGGAGTAGCCCTTCCGAAACTCGCCCACCCTGCCCAGCTCCTGGAGCCCAGATACTTCAAGCCAGGGCAAGGGAGGGGGTTCCAGGTCCAAGTCCCTGGCCTGATTGGGACCCCTCACCGTCTGCTGATGACCCCCCCACCCCATGCCCGCGTCTGCTGTGGAAGACGGTCGCAGGAGGATGGCGGGCAGCTAAGAAGGAGTTTGTTCCTGCAGTGGTGCGGGGTTCAGCATGGATGGCTGGGCAGGGGGAGCCTGGGCTGTGAGGAGGGTGGGGGCGGGGCTCTTGGGAGCCTCTGACCCCCCATTTTATCATTTACCAACCTTCACTGACGCCTCCAGAGCAGCCTCTAGAGGCGACCCCTCCCCTGTGGGGATGCCACAAGGTGTGTTCACAGACCAGCTGCCCGGGGGGCTCAAGGGACATTGTCAGCCTGAGAAGCTGCCCCACCCCAGGGACAGGAGAGCATGATAGGGACAACGGTGAGCAGCGGGGAGAAGGCTTCTTACCTCCAGGGGCTCCTAGGGCAGCGGGGTCAGCCCTGATAGAGAGCGAACTGCCTGTCCCTGGGAGCATCCAAGCAGATCCCCCGACCCAGGAAAACCCGGACCCCGTTCTGCCCAACTACGGGCCCCAGAAGTACAGCCAGAAAGAGCGAAGACGGAGTCCAGAGAAGGGCCGGGACGCCGGACAGCGGGCTCCAGGCTGCGGGGGCCACAGCCGCCCGTGCTGGCGACGCCTGCCGGGCCTTCGCGCTCCCCGCGGCCCGGCGACCTGCCCCTTTCCGAAAGGCAGAGCCCGGGAGCTGGGGACGGAGGCTGAGACGGCCCGGACCTGGCGGTGGGGTAACGAGGTCACAGGCTGGGACTGAGAAAGCCCCCGAAGGGCCGGACGGTGACGCGCCCCGAGTGGCCGCAGCGGCCCCGGGGGCGGTCGCCCTGCCGAGGGGTGTGCCCTGGGCGTTCCGGAGCCTCGAGCGTCGCTTTCCGGGGGAGTCCTGAAGCAGCGCCGCCGGGGCCGGGAAGAGCTGGAGCCCCTGCCCCTGCCCCGCTCCGTGTCCTCCTCTCCGGGGCCCGGCGGAGGCTTCAAGGGCCGGGGAGAGAGGCCGGAGAGGCGAGCTCGAGCCCCCATCCAGGCGGGAGGAGACGCGGCGGAGCCGCACGGACGCCTCTGCGCCTGCAGC